GGTCCTGCCCAGGTTAGAGTTCTTGTAAAGCACCATCTGATTGTGTGTTTTCTGGTGGCTACGATAAGCTGATTTTTGGAGGAGGGACCAGGCTGGCTGTACACCCATGTGAGTATGACCCTGCAAGTGACCAGTGCAGAAAGAACTGACCACTTGTCTATGAGAAAACAGGCGATGATTTATGGCAAACTTGGGGATCTATTGAGAAGCACTCATTTTCCATTTCTACAAGCTCTCTTGGTGACATAAAATGTCCCCATTTCTCATACTAAACACAGAAGTGCCAAGAGCCAACTGAGTAAATGAAAATCTGAGCAGAATAATTTATAGAAACATAAAAAGAGTCCCAAATACTCAGTGCTTTCAAGCGAAGCTGATAATATCGGCACCAGATAATCTGAACATTCAGGAAATTAGCAAAGTGTCCTTGGGGGAAACAGATGAGTTAATGGCAAACACAAATTATCTTTTATTGCAGCAGGTAGCTAAATTCCCTGAATTGGCTAATAAACATGGTATGGGGATCCCTACCCATAGCATCTTCCTCTCTGGAGTTAGGAGAGTTTTCGACTTCCTCCTAAGGGTAAAAATGGCCCAGACTCCTAACTGAAGGGCAAGTATACCACACGCAATTACAAGGTATAGAGGCAGCAGTGTATAGGGAGGCCCACAGACCTGGGGAAAATTCGGGCTCTACTCTCACTGGCTGTTTTCAATAAAGCCTCCACTTTCTCAACAGCAAAATGACTGTAACTACATCATAATAATATGAGATAATGGCCAGAATGTAAAAAGTGATCAATAAGTAGTAGCTTTTCTAAAATATTATTATAATTATTATTACTGAGGCTTTGCTTATACTAAGGTTTACACTATCATAAAGGGAAAGGGGAATTGCTTCCGTGGGAAGCACCAAAGACCCAGTGAGCCTTTTAGAATGTTGCTCTGAGACCCCAGTGGGTTCCAGCAGATTAGCATCAAGAAGGTTATCTCAAAGACCTTACCCACAGTGGGGGTACAGCAGTGCTTCCAAGATCATCTTTGGATCAGGGACCAGACTGAGCATCCAGCCAAGTAAGTAGAATGAAGCAGGAGAGCAAGGGAGGATGGACAACTATTTCTTCTTTGCCCAAAATGCCAACTTGAGCCCAGGTATTTTCCTCTGTGGGCTCCCAAATAGTTTCTTCCACCCATCCCCAGGAAATCCTCCATCCAGCACTCAGTGCTCTGCAGACATCATCCTTAGGCTGGGACCTTAGGAACCATGAGGCAGGCGATGAGCAAGGACTCCTGAACCTTCCACAAACGTATCCAAGATACTGCTGCCTGGAATTGAGGTTTTTGCTCTACTGAATTCTTAGTTAATTGAAACCATATGAAATCACAACCTCAGCCCAGGGAACCACAGCAGAATGGAGCAGGAGGAGAACTGTACATATCAGAAGTGAAATTTCAGTGCAAAAGAGCAGAAGGTCTAACTCTTAGGAGTGTGATTCTCCTGCCTTGTGGGGGAGATCAGTGTTTCTCTTATTTAAGTAACAGGTAAGTCCTGTGAGTTTCTGCAATGGTGTCACCCGTGGTGTGAATACTGGAGGAACAATTGATAAACTCACATTTGGGAAAGGAACCCATGTGTTCATTTTATCTGGTGAGTCATCCCAGGTGGCACCACTTGCAACCCCATGGGCCAGTGTCGCTAATCCTTTCTCTGGGGATATCACTTATTACCATGGTGAGGCTTGCTGAAGATGTTGTAACTAATTGTCTTACAGAGGTCTGGGAAGGGAAAAGCATCACTATCTGTCTTGAATATTCATGTTTCTCTAGGTCAAACACATTAAAATTTGACTTTAATCATTCAATGGGTATTGTAAAATGCCTTCTATGTGACTATCACTCTCTAAAATGCTAGACTGAGTATGAAGTGTAAGATAGATTCCTGTCCGGTCCTCAAGTGGTATAAAAACTAGACAAAAGTACAGAACTGTTATAAATTAAGCAGCCCGAAAACTGTTCTAGTATTGGCCAGCTGATGATGTCAATGGACACAATAGAGATTCAGAGGGGATAGGGTGCTGGCTGAAAAGTTGGCCTAGATTGAGAAGTTTCATGTGGTACAAAGGATTCATTGAGCCCCAAAAGATGGATAAGATCTGTATGGGCAGAGAAAGGAGAGAAGGGGAGTTCTGGGCATAGGGAACAACAAGAAAGAAGGCATGATCCTGGGAATAATGAAGGCACATGCATTGTAGCCTAAGTATACATCTGATAATAAAATTGGTTGAAAAGTACTCAGAGAACATGTCTTTTTAGGCATGGAAAAAGGAAATACTAGAGCACGAGAATACAGAAATTAGGGCCGGGCCAGCCAGCCACTGGGAAACTGAGAATCCGATTTAGAGATGCAGACCAGAAGTGAAGGTGAGAGGAGCCAGCTACAGTGCTGCAGACCTCCCCTCTCCTTCCTCAGTGGGCTCTGAGAGGGATCAACCCACACCTTAGAGGAGGAGAAACCTAAGGGATTCTGTAATAGAGACACTGGGAGTGATATGAAGGTGTTACCTCCCAGTAGCAATTTGGCAAAGGAACCAGAGTTTCCATTTCTCACCGTACGTCTGCCCATGCCCACAGTTTCCTGATGCTCACTAGAACCTCAGTGGGACCCAGAGCCACTGTCACTAATTCTGATTTCTGGGTCCCTAGTGCCCAACTACAGGGACAGATTTAATGGTAAGGGAGCTTTCGATCACTGCTGTGTCCCTAGGGACCTAAAGCACTAGAGCACATGTGCTTCTGCAGTTCATTTTGAATGTAAAGGACAGTTCAGGATCTAGAATAGCTGAACTTCCACATCAAAAAGTTCGTTCCGTCTTGCCAAGCCTACCTTCTGATATCGTCAGTGATAGGATGTGTTATTCTTACTAGGGTAGAATAGGATGTCTGTCCCCAAAGGGCTCTGGCAGACAGACCCCTAAACACCTCCAAATTAAAAGCGGCAAAGAGATAAAGTTGAACTAAAGGTACATGGGGATACAAAGTATAATAGGTACATGGCATGAAAGTATAAAAAGGCTAAAAAAAACTCAGTACCTCTAACTCAGCCCCTGTTGCCGTTTCTCGGAGTCTTGTGTTCCGTGGCATTGCGCTTTCTATACCAACAGTGTCCAGTAGAACTTTCTGTGGCAATGGAAATGTTCTGTCAATCTCCACTGTCCCATGCAATGGCCACCAGCTACATGTGGCTATTGAGCTCTTGAAATGAAGTTTCCATTTTTAATTGAAAACATTTTATTTCACATTGACTAATTCTTATTTCAACAGCCACATGTAGCTAGAGACTATTATACTAGACAGAGCAGCCTAGATCTTCTCCAGTCTGACACCCACTGGCCCCAGGACTTGAGTGAGTGTTTAACCAGGACTCCAAGTTGGGTTTCTGCCCCACAAAGCCACCCACTTTCCCTGATTAGGGGCCACCAGATGCAGGTTGGCTTGAGGATCAGCACTTCCAGACTCTTCTCTCCCCCTCTGCAGTGCTGCCCAAGACCCCCACTGATGACTAACAATCAGGGGGACGTGTTGGTGGAGCTAATGGCTTTCTGTCTGTCCCTTCCCAGCAAAGGAACTATGCCTTAGGGCCTTCACCCAGAGAGATGTCAGGCTGCCCAAGTATAAGGAGGTTGGAGGGAAGTAGGCAGAATCCTCTGGAGCCACAGCTCTGGATGTCTCTCCCCTCTGACCATGCAGCCCACCCCTGCTCCACTGCTCCAGGGGCAGCTGCATGCTGCAGGCAGCTCTGCCTCCACTCAGCATCCCAGGGGCTGATTTCTTTGGTTTTGGATCCAGCTGGATGTCGGCATTGCCGAGACCACCATGGTTGGCTCACCAACTGTCGGGGAATCACCAGGGTCTGAGAAATCTTGTATGCATGTGAGGAGCTGTGGGAGCAGAGAACCACTGGGTGGGAAATTCTAATCCCCACCCTGCTGGAAACTCTCTGGGTGGCCCCAACATGCTAATCCTCCGACAAACCTCTGCTTCCTCCTCAAAAGGCAGGAGGTCGGAAAGAATAAACAATGAGAGTCACATTAAAAACACAAAATCCTACGGAAATACTGAAGAGTGAGTCTCAGCACTAAGGAAAAGCCTCCAGCAGGTCCTGCTTTCTGAGGGTGAAGGATAGACGCTGTGGCCCTGCATGACTCACTAGCACTTTATCACAGCTATATTCTGCCAGGGTCAATGGCTCCAACTAACATTTGTTTGGTACTTTACAGTTTATTAAATAGATTTTTATATGGAGAAGCTCTCATTTCTTTCTCAGAAGAGCCTGGCTAGGAAGGTGGATGAGGCAACATATTCATTTTGCAGATGGAATTCCTGAGACGTAAGGAGCTGCTGTGACTTGCTCAAGGCCTTATATCGAGTAAACGGTAGTGCTGGGGCTTAGACGCAGGTGTTCTGATTTATAGTTCAAAACCTCTATCAATGAGAGGGAAATCTCCTGGTGATGTGATAGACTTCCCAACTTAATGCCAACATACCATAAACCTCCCATTCTGCTAATGCCCAGCTTAAGTTGGGGAGACCACTAGTTTGCTTTGCTCGGCCTTCTTTCCATGCCTGCCTTTGCTCTGCCAGAGTTATATTGCTGGAGTTTTGAAGAAGATCCTATTAAATAAAAGAATAAGCAATATCATTAAGTAGCCCTGCATTTCAGGTTTCCTCGAGTGGCAGGCCAGGCCTGGCAGTGAACGTTCACTGAAATCATGGCCTCTTGGCCAAGATTGATAGCGTGTACCTGTCCCTGAGTCCCAGTCCCAGTCCATCACAAGCAGCTGGTTTCTAAAACGCTGTTTCCCGTATAAAGCATGAGACCATGACTTGCCAGCCCCACGGAGCCCCGTTCTGGTACATCACTGGCATCTGGACTTCAGCCTGGGTTGGGGCCAAAGAAGGAAATGAGATCATGTCCTAACCCTGATCCTCTTGTCCCACAGATATCCAGAACCCTGACCCTGCCGTGTACCAGCTGAGAGGCTCTAAATCCAATGACACCTCTGTCTGCCTATTTACTGATTTTGATTCTGTAATGAATGTGTCACAAAGCAAGGATTCTGACGTGCATATCACAGACAAAACTGTGCTAGACATGAGGTCTATGGACTTTAAGAGCAACGGTGCTGTGGCCTGGAGCAACAAATCCAATTTTGCATGTACAAGCGCCTTCAAGGACAGCGTTATTCCAGCAGACACCTTCTTCCCCGGCACAGGTAAGGGCGGCTTTGGTGCCTTCGCAGGCTGTTTCCTTGCTTCAGGAGTGGCCTGGTTCTGCCCAGAGCTCTGGTCAACGATGTCTAAAACTCCTCAGATTAGTGGTCTTGGCCTCATCAATTGCCACAAAACCCTCTTTTTACTGAGAAACAGTGAGCCTTGTCCTGGCAGTCCAGAGAATGACACGGGAAAAAAGCAGATGAAGAGAAGGTGGCAGGAGAGGGCACTTGGCCCAGCCTCAGTCTCTCCAACTGAGTTCCTACCGCCTGCCTTTGCTCAGACTGTTTGCCCCTTACTACTCTTCTACGCCTCATTTTAAAGCCCTTCTCCAAGTTGCCTCTCCTTATTTCTCCCTGTCTGCCAAAAAATCTTTCCCAGCTTACTAAGTCAATCTCATGCAGTCACTCATTAACCCACCAAGCACTGGTTGTGCCGGTACATGAATGCACCAGGTGCTAAAGTGGAGGAATAAAAAGTCGGATGAGGGGTCTGCCCAGAGGAAGCTCCATTCTAGTTGGGGGAGCCCATCTGTCAGCTGGGAAAAGTCCAGAAAACTTCAGATTGGAATGTGTTTTAACTCAGGGTTGAGAAAACAGCCACCTTCATGACAAAAGTCAGGGAAGGGCTCTCTGAAGAAATGCTACTTGAAGGTACCAAGCATACCAAGGGCAGGGAGAGGACCCTATAGAGGCCTGGGACAGGAGCTCAATGAGAAAGGAGAAGAGGAGCAGGCATGAGTTGAGTGAAGGAGGCAGGGCCAAGTCACAGGGCCTCCTAGGCCATGAGAGGGCAGACAGTATTCTAAGTATACCAGAAAGCTGTTGATCAGCTTCAAGCAGGGGAGGGACACCTAATTTGCTTATTTTATTTATTTTATTTTATTTTATTTTATTTTATTTTAAGACGGAGTTTTGCTCTTGTTGCCCAGGCTGGAGTGCAATGGCGCATCTCAGCTCACTGTAGCCTCCGCTTCCCAGGTTCAAGCGATTCTCCCGCCTCGGCCTCCCGAGTAGCTGGGATTACAGGCTCCCACCACCACACCCAGCTAATTTTTTGTATTTTTAGTAGAGACAGGGTTTCACTATGTTGGCCAGGCTGGTCTCAAACTCCTGACCTCAGGTGATCCACCCGCTTCAGCCTCCCGAAGTGCTGGGATTACAGGCGTGAGCCACCACACCCGGCCTGCTTTTCTTAAAGATCAGTCTGAGTGCTGTATGGAGAGTGGGTTGTAAGCCAAGAGCAGAAGCAGAAAGGGAGCAGTTGCAGCAGAGAGATGATGGAGGCCTGGACAGGGCGGTGGCAGGGAGGTGGCCAACACCATTCAGGTTTCAAAGGTAGAACCATGCAGGGATGAGAAAGCCAAGAGGGGATCAAGGAAGGCAGCTGGATTTTGGTCTGAGCAGCTAAGTCAATGATAGTGCCATTTTATTAAGATGAAACCAAGGAACAAATTTGGGGTACAAGGATCAAAACTTTTTGGAACACATGAAAGTACCTGTTTATACTCTTTACGGCCCTTGCCACCGTGTATGCCTCACTGCCTCCATTGGACTCCAGAATGAAGCCACGCAAGAGCAGCGTCTACGCGTGATGGCACCTGTGGCCTATGTCATGCAACATGTACTTTGCACAAACAGTGCATATTGAGTAAATAGAAATGGTGTCCAGGAGCCAAGGTATCAGTCCTGCCAGGGCCAGGGGCTCTCCCTAGCATGTGCCCATGTGCTGTAAGTTCCCTCCAGATCTCTCCACAAGGAAGCATGGAAAGGCTGCAGACGTTCACCTGCCCAAGAACTAGGAGGTCTGGGGTGGGAGAGTCAGCCTGCTCTGGATGCTGAAAGAATGTCTGTGTTTTTCCTTTCAGAAAGTGTCTGTGATGCCAACCTGGTTGAGAAAAGCTTTGAAACAGGTAAGACAGGGGTCTAGCCTGGGTTTGCACAGGGTTGCAGAAGTGATGAACCCGCAATAATCCTGCCTGGATGAGGGAGTGGGAAGAAATGAGTAGATGTGCGAATGAATGATGAGGAATGGAAACAGCAGTTCGAGACCTGCCCAGAGCTGGGTGGGGTCTCTCCTGAATCCCTCTCACCATCTCTGACTTTCCATTCTAAGCAGTTTGAGGATGAGTTTCTAGCTTCAATAGACCAAGGACTTTTTCCTAGGCCTCTGTATTCCTTACAACAGCTCCACTGTCAAGAGAGCCAGAGAGAGCTCCCGGGTGGCCCAGCTGTGAAATTTCTGACTCCCTTAGGGATAGCCCTAAACTAACCGGATCATCCTGAGGACAGTTTCACAGCCAAGAGGTTTTGCCTTCTTTCAAGAAAAGCAACAGTACTCACACAGGCTCTAGGCAATGGTCCTGTCTCTCAAGAATCCCCCACCACTCCTCACACCCACCCTGGGCCCATATTCATTTCCATTTGAGTTGTTCTTACTGAGTCATCTCTCCCGTGGTAGCGGAACTCACTAAGGGGCCCCTATGGACCCCAGGGATTGAAATGATAAATTCTGAGCAGCTACCCCATCCCCAGAAGGGCTCGGAAATAAAATAAGAGCCAAGTCTAGTCGGTGTTTTTGTCTTGAAACACAAAATACTGTTGGCCCTGGAAGAATGCACGAAATATGTTTGCAAGGGGATATGCACAGAAGCTGCAAGGGAGAGGTGATGCAGGAGCCGCAGGCCTCCCCCACCCAGCCTGCTCTGCCTTGGGGAAAACCATGGGTGTGTCCTGCAGGCCATGCAGGCCTGGGACATGCAAGCCCATAACCGCTGTGGCCTCTTGGTTTTACAGATATGAACCTAAACTTTCAAAACCTGTCAGTGATTGGGTTCCGAATCCTCCTCCTGAAAGTGGCCGGGTTTAATCTGCTCATGACGCTGCGGCTGTGGTCCAGCTGAGGTGAGGGGCCTTGAAGCTGGGGAGTGGGGGTTAGGCACGCGGGTCTCTGGGTGCACCCTAAGCTCTGAGAGCAAGCCTCCCTGCAGGGTCTTGCTTTTAAGTCCAAAGCCTGAGTGAGCCCACCAAACTCTTCTATTTCTTCCTGTTACAAATTCCTCTTGTGCAATAACAATGGCCTGAAACACTATAAAACATGCTCATTTCAGCCACCTCAGTTGAACTTCTCCCCTATGAGGTAGGAAGAACAGAAATGAAGAAACTGAGGCCACACAGCTAATGAGTGGAAGAAGAGAGACACCCGTTTACACCGCATGCCTTGTGCTGTACTTCTCTCACCATGTGACCTAAAGGGACCCCCAAGGCCTCTCCTCATGTCCTCTCTCCCCATATGGCCATCTTAGCTCAGTAGAAAGAAGACATTACACTCATATTATACCCTAATCCTGGCTAGAGTCTCCACGCCCTCCTCCCCCAGGGTCCCCAGTCATCTTGCTGACAACTGCATCCTGCTCCATCACCATCAAAAAAACTCCAGGCTGGGTGCGGGGCCTCACGCCTGTAATCCCACCACTTTGGGAGGCAGAGTCTCCCAAAAGTAACTGTAGTCCCAGTTACTTAAGAGGCGGAAATGGGATGATCGCTTGAACCCTGCAAGATCAAGGCTGCAGTGAGTTGTGATCACGCCACTGCACTCCAGCCTGGAAGACAAAGCAAGATCCTGTCTCAAAAAAATAAAAAAATAAGAACTCCAGGGTCCATTTGCTCCTAGAACTCTACCACACAGCCCCAAACAGAGCCATCTCCATCACACCCCTAACAGTCCTGGGTCCTCCTCAGTGTCCAGCCTGACTTCTGTTCTTCCTCATTCCAGGTCTGCAGGATTGTAAGACAGCCTGTGCTCCCTCGTTCCTTCCTCTGCATCGCCCCTCCTCTCCCTCTCCAAGCAGAGGGAGCTCTCCCACCCCCATGGAGGAGAAAGCTGCTACCACCTCTGTGCCCCCCGGCAACGCCACCAACTGGATCCTACCCAAATTTGTGATGAAGATTGCCGAAGAGCTGCCAAACACCGCTGCCACCCCCTCTGTTCCCTTATGGCTGCTTGTCACTGACTGACATTCACGGCAGAGGCAAGGCTGCTGCAGCCGCCCCTGGCTGTGCACATTCCCTCCCGCTCCCCAGAGACTGCCTCCACCACCCCACAGATGATGGATCCTCAGTGAGTTCTCTTGGGCTCTAGGTCCTGGAGAATGTTGTGAGGGGTTTATATTTTTTAAATAGGGTTCATAAAGAAATACATACTATTCTTCTTCTCAAGACATGGGGGGAAATTATCTCATTATTGAGGCCCTGCTATGCTGTGTATCTGGGTGTGTTGTATATCCTGCTGCCAATGGCTTCATTAAAATGGTTTGGAAGAGCAGAGACTGTGCCTCTGTTTGACTGGGTTTGGTTGCAGTCATTTTCTGCTTGCTGGTAATTACTAGCTGGGCAGAGAAAAACCAAGGCATTTGTCTATGATGCGGTCCAGGAAGCCTCATTCAACAAGCTGCCTAAGTCAACCTCTTCTTGGAATAACCTCTAAAAGCTTCCGCTTAGCAGGCTATGCTGAGGGCCGGGAAAACCCACCTACCGGCTTGGGCCCCTTCTCTTCCACTCTCATGCCACGCCACGGGACCACCCATAACAGGAGCCCATACACATGGGTGGCAGTGACCTGCAGCAGACAGGGACCACACAGCAAGTGTCCCCAAAATGCCACCCACGTCTCCTGCCCTCCAGGAGCATTTCCTTTGCCTCTCCTCTCAGACTGGGTTTCCACTGAAACTGCATTGTCTCACAAATTCATGGCTGGGGACCACCCACCACTCTGCTGCCTGGCCCAGCCCCACGCCAGCCCTTTGAGGTGCCCAATCTGACAGCAGGAGCAGGGTTGAGAGGAGGCTGTGGCCCCAGCAGGACTTTATGTTCCCACCATCCCGGATGTGAGAATGAGGAAAAAGGAGATGAGTTGTCTCCCCACGAGCCCAGAGATTTGACCGAGGAGAGTCGATGCCCTGAGCTCTCCCCTGGAAGAAAAGACATGGGGCTCCCTGGGGTCCACAGCACACTGTGCTCTCCCTCCTGAGACTCCTGCTGCCAGAGCACCTTTCCCCAGGGTCAGGGATGCCGAGGGGAACACAGCTTAGAGACCACTCCCCCATCCACCCAGCAAGCACAGCTACCAAGACCCAAAGCTGAGGCTTACCAACGCCCGGGGGTAGGAGAGGTTTCCATCCCTGAATACCTCCATGGTTCCCCTATGCATCTGACCATCCCAGCCAGAAATACGTAAATCCTCTCAGCTACAGCTCAGGCCTGCTTTTTTTCACAGGGAAGAAGCTACAGGTTGAGTATCCCTTCTCTGAAATGCATGGTACCAGAAGTGTATCAGGTTTTGGATTTCTTTTCTTTTTGAGTCGGAGGTAGAATATTAGCCTTATACTTACCAATTCGACATCCCTAATCTAAAAATCTGAAATCCAAGATGCCCCAGTGAGCATTTCCTTTGAGCATCATGTGGGCACTTAAAAAGCTTCAGATTTTGGAGCATTTCACATTTCAGATTTTTGAATTAGGGATACTTAACCTGTACCAGCTTTAATAGGTGACCTAGAGCACACCCCTGCCCTCTACAGGCTTATGTGTCGCCACTTACGAAATGTCGGGTAGGACTGGAGGCTACCTCCCACTCCCTGCACCGCTGATTCTGTGCCCCCTGTAGAATTAAGAACCAGTGTCCCCTCTCCTGGTCAGCCCTACTGAGGGGAGTCACAAAATCCCCAGTTCTTTCTAAGCTGCCCCATCTCTCACCTACATCCAATCCCCTTAAAGATCACCAAAGGGAAAGGGCTCAGAACTCCATCACAGCAGGGCCACCCTCACACATGGTAGGACTGTAGCACCTTCACAAAGGTGGGGTTTGCCACCTTTGGGGAACTCTGGGGGGCCTCTACCTCCTCACCAGTCTGACACAATGCCAGAGATTCCACCATTGGGAATTTCTTATAATTAAAGCATTCTCTTCCCTGTATTAAATGAAAATGCCCCTGGGAGGGTTAATAGAGCAAGCCTTTATCAACCATTAAAAACTGAGGGCCAGTTAGTTTCTCTTTCTTTTCCCCCTGAAGTGGTAATTCATTTTGCTTTGTAGAAAAAAGATTCAGGCGAGGGAAGTGTGGGTGACTGGGGAGGCAGGTCTGCTCTTTTGAGTTGGCTGCAGTGACATGGAGGTCATAGGGCTGAGGGAAGGAAACAGGAGCCTGGAAGGCAGTGAAGAGGTGAAAGATAGACCCCTGCAATAATCTTAGAGGCGACCCAGACTGCAGGAGACCTGCAGGAGGCCTGCGGGAGCCTGTGGAGGCCTGTGGAGGCCTGCCAGCCCAGTGCCCTCAGAGAGCAAGGACAGTCACTGGTCCCCCAAGGCCTCCCACAGATCTATGCAAGGTGATGCAGCAGGGGCTATGGACCCACCCACACCCAAGCAAGGAGGCAAGATGACAAGGCCAGGGCAGGTAGGGAGCCATCTGGAGAGCGGGCTCAGCTCCACCCTTGAAAAATTTCCATCTAAATCCAGGAGATGCTCTATTCAGCAAGAACCTTCCCTCACGTCTGAGGCTGTTAAACCTAAAGCCAGTTAGGGCAGAGGTCAGAGGGGTGGACCAGGAGCAAGTGGGTTGAGGCTGAGCAAGTGTTGGGGGTGGGGCCAGAGACTCCATCCATCTCCGACTGCTCTGCTCACATGTCTGGCTCCGGGCCCACCTGGGATGTCAGAGGGAATTAGAGTGGCCTTGTGAGAAGGCTCAGCAGAAGGGCTCCTGTGCCCACTGGGCAGGTCAGCACTGAGCCTAGCACCACCACAATAAAGCCCCTCAGTGCAGAGGGCCCAGCTATAAGGAACTGGGCATTGCTTGGCCTGGAGGGAATAGGAAGCTGAGGAGACCTGGAAACACAGTCATGAAGAGCCCGGCCGTGAAGACCCACAGACCCTGCGAGCCAGGGCCATGGGCTGCAGCTGCAGCTCTACCAGCCTGGACCCAACCTCAGGCCAACATCCCAGCAGGGAACATGTTACTAAGGCCAGCTTTAGAAGGGACTTCTCTGGACACATGCCCTACTGTCCCAAAAGACTTAAGCACAGGCCAGTCCCAAAGGCATAAGAATGGACTAAATGAGCTCTCGTGGCCCCAGGCCTAAGATTCTAGAGGACTCTCTGAAACTTCACTCGGAGACCTGACCTCTGAGGGCAACTGGAGTCACAGCCACTCAGGCGAAACGGCAGGCTACGCAAGCACCGTGTTTCAGGAGCGTCCTGGTGGGGTCTTTGGCTCTGACAGAGCAACCCCTCTGCTGTTACCCTTACTGGGGGCAGCCATCTGAGTCTTAAGGGTTTGCTTATTTTTTAGGTCCAAACATAAAATTCAATTCCCCTGGGATCATGTATACAGACAGACCTATAGCACCTTATTATCAGGTACCATCCTGGTGGGGAAGTCCCCTGGCCTGTGTGCTCTGTGGGACGGGAATGTTCCTTGTCATCAATGTGTCCCCAGGAACTAGAACAGTGCCTGGCACACAACAGATGCCATTAAATAAATAAGTGAATGACTCCTGCAGTTAGGCTCTGGGTGGGGGGAGCTGAGTGTGAGGAGTGGGGAGTACAGGAGAAAGGAAAGTGGGGATTAGTAGAGGAAGTGGTCAGGTGAGTCAATGTTTCACAGTTTTGCCAAGAGCTAAAGTAACTTGTCAAGAACTTCAGAACAAGCAAAACCTGAGTGGTGGCCCCTTGGTCAGGGCAGCCCCCAGGCAGGCACACATCTATCCAATGAAGCCTGGAGGACAGGGACTGTGGGAAAGCATACAGGGTAGCTGGGAGTCTGACCTCACTGTGTGACTACACCGAGGTCCGGGGCCAACAGTCACTTTATGTGGGTTCACCTCAGTTTCTCCATGAGTCCTACTCTAAAACCCATCTACCTCCTTGATCCATGTGTGGGAAGACGAGCTTCTGACTGGGATGAGTCTGGGGGAGCAAGCACATGGAGACCCAGTGCTGTCATTCTGGCTGCGGGAAGGCTGCAGGACCACCAGCGCCCTGCGTCTGCGTCAAGGCCCCCTGGGCAACGCGGTGAGGGGTGGGGGGTGCAGGCCTCCTTTCACACAGAGACACACATGCCTGAGGCCTCTCTGCGTAGCACACATAGAGCTATCTTTTGCAATTAATAAACAGGTCAGACATTGAGTCAGTAGCCACAAGTAGAACAGGAAGTGGAAAAAGTCTCCCACTTCCCTCCAGGTGTTTGGGGGCTGGGGCGGTCCCCTCCCATTTCCATGATGTCATGGTTACCAAGAGGGGCAAGTAGGGCACCCTTTGAAGCTCTCCCACAGAAGCCACATCCTCTGGAAAGAAGAGTTAAAAATACTGAGTTAGAGATAGCATCGTCCCAGGCCACGTGCCGAGGGGAGCAGGCTGTGCCGTTACACCACCCGCCAGCCGCAGGTGCAGCAAGGCCAACACGCCAGGCTGGGAGGGGCTGCCGGCCCCTCTGTGACTTGCACCGGACCCGCTGCCTGCTGGGGCGGTGCTGCTGGCCCCACTGCTGAGCCGCCTCCCTCACCGCACCTCTGCTGCCCCTCCAAACCAGCCAAGATCAGACCTCGATCTCACCTGGTTAAGTGCTTACTTAGTACAGGACAGACCCTCAGGGCTCTCCTGGGAGGGAGGGATGTGGGGAGGCTGTATCTGTCCCCACACACAGCTAGGGCTGATTCTCTGAGGGACCCCTTTCAATAGCCCCCCCTTACCCTGATGTTTGTCCATTAGGTGATGGCCCTAATGGACGCCTTGATGGACACGTCCGGGACCCAGGGACCCGGAGACCAGGAATCTGCAGGTCTCCGGGAGCCGCAGAACCTGAAACCCAAAAATACCAGGCTTGATCGCCGGCTCTTTGGTAGTGTCGCCATCCACCCGCATGGGGGCAGCAGCGCTCCACCAAAAAGACCTCTCCTCCCTTTGTCTGTTAATTCTGGAGAGAGAAAGCCCCCAAGGTTTAGGAAAAGCTCTTTTCCGAGGAAAATAAAAGGGCAGGTGACTTTTATCCCACAAGTCCCTGCCCTGTGCCCGTCACTTTGCTGGGCGCAAGACCTGTGTTATCATGTCACATCCCCACAGAGAGGAGGGACTGGGGGCTGGGCCGGCAGCAGGGGGCGCTGCTCGTCCGGGATCATCAGACCCGCTCCACCTGGAGCCCTGCAGAAAGTGCAGAGGGAGGGCTGGGGGCCCGGAGGAAGCCTTGGATTCGGAATTAGGGTGGCTGGCGTCCGGAATCCACCACTTCATAGAGCTGTGCCTTTGGCAGGTCACTAATCGCCCACCGCCTCAG